TACTTAGCTCATAGTTCCTGGAGGTTTCAGTCCATGCTCAGCTGGCTCCAAGGCAGATGGCACATGGCAGAGGGCACTTTCATGTCGGAGGCAAAGAGCAGGAGCGCAAGGCAGGGGTAGCAGCAGCTCAAGCAGCTAGCTTCTCTTCCCTCCTTACATTGTAATGCAGATTACCTGCCCCAGGGCAGGTGCAGCATCCACACCCACAATAATCAATCACAAACTCCACAAGCTGCCCCATGACTGCATGAGGCTTTCGGGGGGACAACTAGACACAAATCATAACAGTGTGTTATCTATCATATTGTTTCTTTTCACTGGTTAATATTGATTATTAATATTGTCATGAAATACTTAATCATTCATATTTATTATTCGTTTGTACCTGTCTACAAAGCCTCTTCTTATTTAAATGAGCAAAACAAACAGTAGTCTTTGTGTGCTCCAGAGCTTACCTGCTAAGGGAGTGAGACGCTGCATGTACTAAGGGAGGTACTGTTAGCTACAGTGAGTTTTGTATACTTCATGCTTGTGTATCACCATTTTCTTAAATTTTAATTAATGTATGCATGTGTAAATCACTGTAGCTGTTTGTATGTCCTTTGGTTTTAATTTTAGACATAGGTAGTATATTTCTAGTTATTGCAGTTTAGGTCAGGATTATATTATTTTTGCAAGATTCCCATGTTTCTGTGCAGACAATAAGATATTTTTTAATGGGTACAGTAATGAGATGATGCTTATTGTGGCATTGCATGTGATTTACAAGTGAAATCAGCTTTTCCATGTCTATTTTTCCCAGAATCATGCCATAATTTCAAAGAAATCAAGCTACACAGACCAAATTTGATTTCACATTCTGTTTCAGCACTATTGAGTGACCTAGACTTATTAGTATGACATTTACAAGTGCTAGTTAAATAATAGGAGAAAGGAATAGGTATTGCAGGCCTCTTGGCTACAGAGTTAATGTCAGTAAATGAATAAGACTGGAAGCCCAAAATATTGAGCCTTCTGCATGGTGTTGAACTGCCAAATTCTGGTCCATAGAAAGCAGAATGAATATCTAGAGTTGTATAAAGCAGGAATGAAAGTTTTAAAGTCACAAGCAGGGATCTTTAGAGATCTCTTAAGTTATTTTGCCAATTTTTTTTTACTAATGGATTCACAATAAAGATAGTTAACTAACATCTCCCTAGAACTCTTGATTTTATGGGAATATATAAAGGATATAT